TTGGTAAAGGCAGTAAGACTCTTAATTGTTAGACTGTTAGGGATTTTCTAATTAAGGACCTGTTTGGATTACTATAATAAAAGACTGTGATAAACTTGATGGTAGAAACTAATTGTATTGATTGCTCTGCGCTCTGTTGTCTGTAGGGGCGCGAGGGCGCGCCTCTTATGAGAGCTATCGCTATTGCTTTTTGTATCAGGTAGGCCGCTAAGTATCAGCCTCGCCTAGGGTTAGGTCTTGGCGATCAGCCCTGATTGGTTGGGATCACAGAATCCTGGTGCTCGAGTCCGCACCCGGATTCTGCCACTTATCTGACATAAGGGGCTGTCTAATTAGTCTACCTACTACTATGTAGTTATCCTTTAACTATAGCTCCTTATACTAATATATATACCTATACCTTAGTAATCGCGTTAAAATTACCTCTTATTAGCAAGAATACCTCACAAGTCTCTGCGCTAACTAGCGTTTATCCTCGTACTATAGATCGTATCTATAGTAGAGCTATTGCTGCAGGCTTTAAGCCAAACAACCTTCCTATTAAGATCCTTCTACACCACGTTTAGGATGCTCTAAAGCCTAGTAGGCCTGCTAAGCAGGCAGAGGTGAAGGAGCAGATATTGCAACAAGTACAACACGATAGATATGGACAAGAGAAGAGCTGTGCTGACCTTGCTGGTGGGCTCAGTCTCCAAGGAGTCGAAATCTCTGCCTCTACTGTCTGGAGGGTGTTGAGAGCAGCAGGATACAGGAAGACTAAGCTAACGAGGAAGCCTAGGTTGACACAGGAGATGAGGAGTGCTTGTCTTAAGTGGGCATTAGAGCATAAGGACTAGACGTTAGAGGACTAGAAGAATGTTATCTAGACAGACGAGACGTTAGTGGTGATCAACTACCAACGTGGGGGCTATAGAGTCTGGAGAAAGGCAGACAAGAGGGTAGTTAAGAGCTGCATCCGTGAGAGGTGGAAGGGATACTCTAAGTTTATGTTCTAGGGCTGCTTCTTGTATAATAAGAAAGGTCTATGCTATATCTACTAGCTAGAGACGAAGGCAGAGAGAGAGGATGCTGCTCGTTAGATTGAGCAGCTAAACGCTGAGCTTGAGCCTCTACAGCGAGAGGAATGGGAGCTGTTAGAGTCTATAAGAAGGACAGGGCTACGCAATAAGCGTGGCAGGAAGCCTTAATAGAGATGGATAGAGAAGACAGGTAAGCTAGTGCGTAAGTCTAGAGGTGGTATAGACTAGTAGAGATATTAGGCCTACGTTCTAATTCTAAAGCTAATTCCTTTTGCTAAAGAGTGCCTCTAAGATAGACCTTGGACTGTCGTAATAGAGGATAAGGCACCTAGCTACGCCCACTACTATTAGGGTGTGATCTATCGCCTGTACGACGTTAAGAGACTACTTTAGTGTGGAAACTCGCTAGACTATAACTGCATTAAGCTATGCTAGTTCTATATAAAAAGAGAGACTACAAAGAAAGGAGCTCTGCAGTTAGAGTCTAGTAGAACTGCTAGAGAGATCTCTTACAACTTAAGATCTAAGCTTAGATTAAGCGAATTCTTATATATATTTAAAAGATAATTAAGCTACAAGGTGGTAATAAGTACATAGAGGGGAGAGATAAGCCTTAGCTAAGGCGGCCGCACTTTGGTTAGATTATTCTTGGCAGACAATACTTTTGAAAGGCACCTCCGTATGTGTGTGACTTATACATGTATGTGTGTGTGTGTGTGTGTTGTGATCACTAGCGTTTTATCATCCCATCATCTCCTCATTGTCTCGCCGTTTTTCTTTTCTATTGTTTTTTTCGGGGTAAGTATGTCACGCGTTTGTGTATTGTGTACGTACATTGGTGCCAAGTTAAGAATAATAGTTGGCGCTTTAGGGTAACAGGTCATGCGAATCATAGTATTAACTTTTTTCTTTCTTTTTTTTTGTACCTCGTGCTGTGGCTGCGCCGTGCATATGTATGTATGTATGTATGTTGTACACGAATACTTTCATGTTAATGTATGTATGTACGTTGCAAAGCAAAAATAAAAAACGACAGGCGTGTTCCTTGTTCCCCACGCCAACCCCCAACCCCCAACCCTTTTTTTCTTTTTTACAACAACAGCCCATGGTGATTTTAATTAATTGCGGCGTGTAGAAAGAATAAAATAAAAAAACTATCCGCGCCGCGCCACGCCACGCCAATTCAGTTAACAAACGTTAAAATATCTTTTGAGAGAAAATTAAAAATTAAAAAACACCCTGCATAAAATATATGACAGGCAAGTGTTCAGAGCATATATGTGATGGGGAAAAAAAAATAACGTGATAGATAAGCGAGTCGGTCAGACAAGCGAGTCGGTCACCTCACTAACTTTGCGCACTTCTATAAACGTATAGCTCCACTATATTATATTAGTTTTGGTAGATATTAACGCAATAGATTAATTACTATCTAGACTATCTTTCTTGCATGTACGTGAGTTATGGCCAGTCTCTCTGCACCTACTACAGCGCGCTAGAGCCTGGCGGCTGACACCTGATCGCTCTCCTCCCTGACGCTTTTCATGAGCAATCTACTAATCAGCCTCGCGCTAAGCGAGTAGATCCTCTCTAGCTCCCTTTGTTAGCACTCCTTGCTTCTGTATCCGCTTCCTTTTACGCTACCTACGCTTTGTTGCTACCTTATTAGCCTTCTTAAGGCTAGTAATCTAATCGCGCATTAGCTTAGCTAAGAGTATTATAACCTTAGCCCCCTTCTTAAGCTAGTTAATTACTGCAATAATTAATGCTAGCGAAGAGCTCTTATGCCGCCAAACCTAATCACGTATTAGCGTTAATTAAGCTTCAAACTTGCGTGCGTTACTTAGGGTACAAGCCTGCTAGAGAGCCTCTACAACAGTAGCTACTAGAGTAGTAGGCGTGCGCAGCTTTATGTCTAGCTTTAATAGAACAGCGTCTAGCTAGAGAGGAACAAGGCCTGCGCCTTAAAAGGCTAAGCAGATATTAGCTAGCGTGAAGGATTAATTAAACGCTATCTTAAACGCTAGTAGAAACTTAAGCTTAGTAATATAGTTAATGTAGTTGCGTATTAGGCTCTCTACCTTACGGCTATACGCGCGCTTTAACGGCGAGAAGTAGCTAACGTTAAGAGGTTAAAGTAGGTAAGAGGAATATAGTAGCATATAGAGCGTGTAGATATTATTCTTCTTATATGTAACGGGTCGAGTCCTATTAGACTGCGCACGCAACTACAACGCGCCCACCGCGCCAAAAAGGCTGGCACAAGATATCAGAGCTGCTGATATCGTTGCGTAGTTGATACATAAGATAGCCACCGCTATCTGTACTGTAGCGGGCTACCTAGCCCGTTACATTATAAAGCTCTTAAAACTTAAGAGACTAGTAGCTCTTATAGCTATTAAGAATAAGCAGACAACGTATGCTAACAACGCAAGTTTTTATATAAGCATTAAAGTGCTTTAGCTAGATAATACCTAGCTTATTTATCTAGCTATTGTTGCTAACTACAATCGCCTAGTTGCGTAGGATCTCTGCTTCTTTGTACTAGGCGGATAGATGATATTTGCTAGCAAAGATAAGGAATAGTAGAACTGCCTAGCTAGCTGCGTTAATTGCTGCGATTAGCGTCACCTGTAAAGGGCTACGCCAGAGAGGCATGACCTACAGGTCACATGGCAGTGAATCACATGACTTTAGTCACGTGACTAAATGACGTGGTTAGTTACGTACGAACAAGCTTAAGTAAGGAGGAAAACTAAAGGTCTGAGCGTTCGTACGAGTAACAACTATAAAAGGAGGGCCCTCTAGATAGTTCTTTTCTGTATCTTTCTTCTTCTGTACAATAGGTGAATGCATACTCGTTAGTTAGGCCTCTCTCGCCCATAACATCACCTACCCACGATTGCCTAGCTTAACTACCTTTAGCTAGCCTCTTCTCTCTAACGCTGTTACAACTAGCTAAGTCGCGATCTTGCCTATTATAAAGCTAGCTTTGTTAAAGTTATAGACGTCCTTATTATAGATGCTATACTTAGCCTTTGTCTGCTCTATAAGCTTAAACTAGCTCTTAATTAGGACTAGATCTTTACATAGAGCTCTCTGCCTATTATACGCTTAATTAAAACGCGTTGTAAGACTATCTGTACGCTTAATAAAGTTAGCTAGCTACTTCTACCTAACCTAGCTAGCGCCGCGCACAGCTAGCAGCTTATTAGCTATATCGCGTATAGCGGCGTACGTGGGCGCAAATCCACGTGAGTTAAGATTAAGTATATAACTAACTATTACCTCCTCTTCTAGCTTAGTAAGCTTCTTTAAGTTAGGCTAGCAATCGCGTTGCGCGCGCTTCCTAGCGCGTTAGTTAATTAGTGTTAATTTTAGAATATTAAAGGCTATAGCAGCGCGTTAGGTACTTTAGATTTAGTTTCTATCTAAAGAAAAGAGAGCAAGCTAAATATCTGCCTCGTGAGAGATTAACTAAGAAGCGTGGCTTAGAGGCATTGTACGCAAAGGTGTGGTGGGTGATCAAAGTTGGTAGGGTGACCGACTCGCTTGTCTGACCGACTCGCTTATCCGTCACGTTACTAGAAGCGTAACACACTTCGACCACACACAGAGCACCATCAAAAAAAGAGAGAAGAATCAAGTTGAACCATAACACACATACAACTATATTCTTTTATGAATTTTTGCCAGTAGATCATGCCAAATCATAGCCCGCAAAAAAAAAGAGTTTACCCATACGAGGAAAGCCTATATTTACGTGCCTACAAGAAAATATGAAAAAAGGGGGGATATGTAAAACAGAAGTAGTAGTAGAAGTAGAAGAGAAAATGCAAGACAAAACCGGACCAAGTAGACCGAGTAAGAGTAAGGACATGTAGATATATAAAAGACTAGATTATTTTTCTTCAGAGGGCTTCCTTGCCTACTAGACCCGGTATCATCATTATCAATTCCTTCACCGCCCGACAACGGGTTTCAGCCCGAGGCCCACAGAGTGGTTTGATTGAGGTAGAGGTCGCAGGCGTGGGGGTGTTGCCTGCAGTAAGCGGGCATGAGGGCAGTGGCCTGGACACCGTTTGCGACAAGGTACTCCCTGAAGTTGAGGATGCGCTGAGTCATTTCCGTGGTGCGCTTGTGGCCGTCCTTGTCGCGGTTGCCGGACCAGACGAGCTCGGCGAGGGCGGCGGCGCGCGGCCACATTTTCTGGCTGATGACGACCGAGTCGACTTGCTCGGACCAGAGAGGAGCGATGGCACCCTCGACGAGGCTCTTCTGCGTGTCCGTCAGGTTGAGGGTAAAGTCAAAGTCGTAGATGCGCTGCCATGTCTTGTAAGGAGCGCACCAGTCACCGCCGCCGGCTCCCCAGTTGAAGTTTGGCGTGGTCGTGTCAGGGTTCTTCATGACGTTGTAGCGCGGGTCGTTGCCGACCCAGCCACCGTTGCCGCAGTCGAGGTAGATGAAGTCGGAGCTCGACACAATGACGCGGTAGCCCTGGCTGGTGAGGTTGGAAATGTGGTTCAGACCGTCGTTCCATGCTTGCAGGACAATGTCCTTGGGCACATTGCCAGTGGCGGCCACATCTGCCGAGAGCTTGACGTCTTCCCACATGACGAACGTCTTGTTGACCTGAGCGCGGAACGTGGGAATGGCGCGGTCGACCCACACTTGGTACAGGTCGCCCATGGTTTTTCCACTGTCAAAGAACTCGCGGGCCTTGGCAGAGAAGTTGTTGCAGTTTCGGAAGAGCTCGTCACCGCCAATGTGGAACCAGTCGCCGGGGAAGATGGTAGCCAGTTCCTTGTAGACCTTGGCTGTGACTTCGTAAGTCTTGTTGTTAAGAATGTCGAGCTGGCCCGGGTTGGGTTCCACGGCCGTGTGCTTTGGCCAGTCGTCATTGGCCCACCAACTGTTCTGGCAAGTTAGAATGGACTCATCGACCTGGGCCCAGCCAGAGCTGGCGTGGCCGGGCATGTCGACTTCTGGGATAATGCGCACACCGCGAGCGGCGGCGTACTTGACACTCCCACTCCCGGCGTAGCGTCGTGCAGCCGGCGATCTGTGTTGTGGGTGGAGCCCCCAAGGGTCATGGTTAAGTAAACGAACTAGCATGGTCCGTCCATCCCCCCCCCCCAGCTGCGCGTGAATGCACGCAGACATTGAAATACCGCCCCGACCTCTGCTCAAGGTTCGACCACCTTGCCACATTCCTTCTTTTTGCTCATTGCTCGACAAAGAGCCCCAACGCCTCCCACCCCCTCTCCTTTGTGTGTGTGCGCGCGTGTATACACAATAGCAAAGATGCGCGACTACGCACTGGCAACGGTCCTTACCGCATCCGCCTTGTTCGCTGGACAGGGCGAGGCAGTGGCCGTAAACCCTCTTCCCAAGCCCGTCAACATCACCTGGGGCTCCTCGGGATGCTTCACCGTCGGATCCCTTACGCTCGACGGCACAAACAACAAAATCGTCTCCAACGCCTTCAACCGCATGGTCAAGACAGCCACGAACCTGAAATGGACCCCAGCTGCTGTCGAGGCCCCCCCGGCCCAGTTCGAACCTTTCCCCAGCTCCAGCTCCAAGCGCAGGAGGGCCAAGGGGCAGTATTCCGTCGACGTTCCCTCTGCTGGTAACTGCACCGGCTCTATAAAGTCGGTCAAGGTCGATGTGGCCGATGCACACGCCCAGCTGCTGCACGGTGTCGACGAGTCCTACAAGCTCGAGCTCGCTGCTGGATCGGATACCGTCAAAATCACCGCAAAGACCGTCTACGGCGCTCTCCATGCATTCACCACAATGCAGCAAATGATCATCAACGATGGTTCCGGCAAGCTGATCATCGAACAGCCCGTCTCTGTCGACGACGCCCCGCTCTACCCCGTCCGCGGTATCATGATTGATAGCGGCCGCAACTTCATCTCCAAGGCCAAGATCCTCGAGCAGATTGACGGCATGGCCCTTTCCAAGCTCAATGTCCTTCACTGGCACATGGTCGACTCGCAATCCTGGGCCGTCGAAATCAATGCTTACCCTGAAATGACAAAGGACGCCTACTCGGCCAACGAGGTCTACTCGCAGGCCACCCTCAAGGAGATCGTGTTCCCCCTGGAGGCGCGGCGGCCAGTCAAGTGGTCAGCCTTGTTGCATGCCAAAGCCTCTCTCCGCTGCAACCCACACTGGCGATAGGGCGCGCCTGGCCCAGCGCCAGCGGACCGCGTGCCTTGTGGTGGTGGTGGCTGCTGCCGTGGTGCTGTAACCCTACCCTTGCTCTTAACGTCGGCTGGCCGTGGTGCGTACATGGTTTTGAGCCGCAGCACTGCTTTCGCTTTCAGCTGACGAGCCAGATGCAGTTGGCGGGGTCAGCCAATGCACCTGGGTACTGCTGCGCGAAGCTGACACTGATGCTCCTCCCCGCCACCCGGCTGGCGATCCGTTTCTTGTGCGCTAGAATGAACGCCTGTCACGCCCAGCTTTGGCGTCGTGTGTCTCGTCTTATCGATTGGGCCTGTGTGCGTGCGTGTGGTGTGGTGTGGTGTGGTGTGGTGTGCCAACCCGCGGGGCGGCGGGCAGCAGGCGGGCCGTTTATTGTGGATTTGGCCTTGATCAGAGTCCAAGTGCAAGGGAGCGCGGCGGGTGGGCGAAATAAGCAGACGCAGGCGGTTCGGCCGTGGTCGTGGTCGTGGCCGTGGCTCGGAGATTTTGGGAGGCATCCTGGGCGGAGGACGTGGACCTCACCCTCGCCCTCGCCCTCACGCCAAGGGGCGACGGCGGTGCCGCCTGTTTCCGGCCATGCGCTTAGGCGAGCGGCTGCGGGCATGTTTCATCCAAGCACGCTGCGCTGCTGGCTAGAGGCGCAGCAGAAACAAAACCGCCTGTGTGTGTGTGTGTGTGTGTGGTCATCCGGGCACAGTCAGTGGCAGTGGCAGTGGCAGTGGCAGTACCAGTACCAGTTGACTGCAATGGACTGGCACTGGCACTGGCACTGGCAGCACCAAACACGTGGCTGCCACCGCTCCGCCAGCGACATCCAACCACGCCGTCATGCCGCTGATACTCCCGTCACAGTCACGTGGTCGCCCATCTGCCGTGCTCATCATTTAGCGTCCTGTTTCAGATAGACGTAATTGTAATCGCACGCCCCGGCCAAACCCTCGCCTGTAGCCATCTGCATCGTCGTCGCTGTCACTGTCCAGCTGTCCATGTTGCCAATTTGCTCACGCATGCGCTTGTCATGCATAAGCATTGACAGCTGGAAACCCTCGGGTTATTATTAGCCAAACCTTACAGTCTACTAGAACACTCTTCGTGCAATCTTGACCACATCCATACCCAATCTGTAATCCCCAACCTTGTTCCCATGAATCACGCCCTGGCATGACGACACTACCAATTCAATTTGCTCCCCCTCCACGCCTGCCCTTCAACTACCGTCAACTCCCGCTTACGTGAGCCGGCTCTCACCATGTTCTTTTTTTTTTGGTCCATACAGTACTGGCAAACATCGTCCGATCCAATCCTTTTCCCTCGCCACACTCACTCAGCTGGTAGCACTCGCAACCAGCGCTCCATCAGAGACTTTTGCCGCCGTCGGTGAAACATCCTCGCTCTTTGTCATGTTGTAGAGTGGCTGTTGCTGCTGCTGCTGCTGCTTGAATGATGCCCAGTCGGGCGCAGGTACGCTCAACAACTTGCAAACATCCTTGCGTCTGTGCCTGAAGTCGTCGTACAAATGTTTCCATATCCGTCTTTCCGCGCAAGTCCCTTCGTGGCTGCCGCCGCAATCGGGCTGCATCTCTTCCAGGCTGCCCAGCGGCCACATGTACCACGGTGGTGGCAGTGGGTAGTCGCTGAAATGCACCACTTTCGCCTCTTTGTAAGCCCTTTCCGCGTCCCACTCTTCATCTGCATCCCCTAGGTAGTCGGCATGATGATGCTGCCGAAACTCGGCCGTGCGAAGAGCATACGGCCGCTGTGGTAAGACCAACGCGCTATCCTCGTACCGTTCGTTCAAAATCTCCATGTCATATCTGTGCATTTGAACCAACGTCGTGTCACCACCACCTTCCATACGCCGCTTAAACTTTTCCAACTCGGCCAAACTGGGCTTGATCACCATAAGCTTCGTCAAGAGCGGCCATGGCTTACTGTCGGTCCAGTATGCGCGCGACATGGCCATTGGCGTTTGCGGCAGCAGAAAGAGCTCGTCGAGTGACCCGAGCAGCGTAAGGTCCGAGTCCAGTGCAATGACGCGATCGTAATACTCGAGGGAAAAAGCCATGAGCTTCGTCACCGTCTCGTCCCATACCCACTGCTCTGTCATGCCGTTAGCCTGTCCGCTTGCCATACAAGCACTTCTGCTCTACACATGCCTTTGGTACGACCCGCCACCTGGAGCGGGTGGACAGGATGCAGCTTGGCCTTGTACACTTCGCGTGCCAAAACCAGCAGCTGGCTGTCCCGATCTTTCGAGCTCTCCACCGTCGTGTCCCAGTGTTCCGGATAGAAAAGAACGCGGTCTGCCTTGCTCCCGTACCGGCTGAGTGCGTCGAGCACTAGCACAGCATGGCAGAGCGAAGCACTGTCCGTCGCATAAACACTATATGCATAGTTTAACCAATTGATCTCGAGCCCGCCTCCCGTCTTGGGTACTTGACCGTGGCGCGGATACAGCAACCAGCACACGAATACGAAGCCGCCAATGTAGTATGGGTAACGACGCCGCGCCCGCCACGCCCGCCGCTCAGGCTCCGTCTCAAACCGTGGAAGCTCGTCCGATCGCCGCCGACGCATGGCTGGGTGAGGGGGGTGGCCGAGATGTTGACATGTCCACGCGGCTATGCCTACGTTGGTGCTCCAAACTCGACCGAACCATCCGTGACGCGTGCCCACCGAGTTGACGTGCCCACATACCGAGCCTGCACACAAAGCTCGGATCCCCATTATGTCAGCAACGCCAGCGGGACACACTCACCGCTACACTATTACCTGATACCCATTGCTAATTCGCCTCGAATTACACATGCATATGCGTATTAGTCGCCATTCAACCGCCCGCCACACTTCGAATGTGCTCAAGCTACGTCTACCTTGCTGAAGTTTTAGCGCATGAGCACAAATCACAGTCTGCACAGAAAAACCAATTGAGGAACGACAAGACTTATTTTTATCATTGTCGTATGCCAGAGTCACTTTTGTAGTGTGGTATCAAACAGCCCAAACGCCGTAGCTGCGCAAACTTCCCCGGTTCCACGGCGTGAACCTCGAGGTTGAGACATGATCCTCATTCAGCTATGTAGCACCCTCTATGGCATATATCATTCATCGTAATCGTCGCGCACACTGTGCAAACGCTTACTCCTCGGGAACTGCGCCGTGTTAGCTAATCATGTCTCCAAAAATATGCGCCTTGTCAAACTTACTCTCAATCTCGCCAGCCCTGACGTCGTCGGAAACATCCTTGGGGCTGCGACCGTCAACCTTGCAGCCAGTGCTGAAGGCAGTGCCGAGAATCTCAAGAACGGTACCCTTCAGGTCCTTGGCCATGGACTTGAAGCGCATGGTGCGGGCAATGTTGATAATCTCATCTAGAGGAATGCTCTTGGTGTGCTTGATGTTCTTCTCCTTCTTGCGGTCTCGGGGAGGCTCCTTGAGGGCCTTGATGACGAGGGAAGAGGCCGAGGGAACGACGGAGACGGCGGCTTGACGGTTTTGGATGGTCAACTTGACGGTAACGCGGAGACCCTTCCAGTCACCAGTGGCCTTGGCGATATCTTCACCGACCTCTGTGTCTTTGTTAGCCTTCTCTTCCGGCAATGCGCGTGCGCAGCATTTGACACATACTCTTGGGCGAGAGACCGAGAGGACCGATCTTGGGAGCGAGCGCGGACGAGGCACCGATTTCACCACCCGTCGCACGGAGGTGGATAACCTTAACCTCGGAGGGATCGATCTTGGGAGCTTTGGGTATGTAAGCGCATGGCGTTGGAGGGAAGCCTGGCTGCTAAACAAGGCGAATTCTCTCGTGGCCAGGCGCGCCCTCAATTGAGCGTCCTGTCCACACAGAGTCTCCGAGCATCTTGTTTAAAGCCGACCAGAAGGATGATACTCACGCATGGCTAGTGCTTGAGGTAGTCAATCGGTTCTGGTTGTAAAGAATGACTGCCGTAGATTTTGGGGGAAGTTCGTGAAAGTCTGAAATGTCGTGGTGGGGGACGACAATATTGGTGGTCCAGCAAAGACAAGCGAGCCTTGGCGGAGCTTGGCCTAATAGGCGATAGCCGCATTGCCACGCATCTGCACTGCACCACTCGGGGCCTGCTTCACCATCTACAAAGTGGGATTAACCAATAAAGGAAATTTCCAGACGTATTGAGTTGGAGTAGGTGTAATACCTGTAATATGTTGGCCTTGCTAGGGCAGCGAGCAATACAAAACCGCGTTCTACCATGTTGCAGGAGCACGAGCATTCTCTTCAAGTTCAATGAGTGACATGCTATCCTTCCATGACTGTGTACTTCCTCTGTTCATGGTTGCTAGCTCAAATCACGGATGTGAATCTTCTCGGCGCCAAACGGCTGTGAATACCTGTTGCCCACAACACCATGCCACGCAGTCATGACACTTCACTATCACGGTCATCAATCAGTCGACCATAGACTTCTCATTTACTCAGAATACCGGCATTTCTACTCTCTTGTCCTTCATACCACTGAAGCGCTCAATCTCGCCTATACCTACCATTTACAATCATGGTTCTACGACCCCATCATAACCATATACGAAGATGCTGCGAAAGGGCACACCACGCGATGTTTCCGCCGTATCATCCTGTCAATTTTCTGGTGGTAGAAAATGACCCCAATGATGGAGATAAGTCACAAAATGGGGATGACAAAGGTGGACAAGAAAGCAGGACGGAGACGACACCTACAACTATGCATGAAGCGCCAGAGCAAGGTACTGAGAATAAGCCAAAAGAGGCTATACCTACAGTCTCGGAGCCTGTAATCAACCTTTCGAGACTTACATGGCTGCTGCCGCCTTCTGCGATACATGATGGTCGACTCTTCAGAAAGGTTGGATGAGTATGTATATGAGGTGTCGTAAGAGACCGCAGTGGTACAAAGGGGTTTACTGCCTGTCTATGCTTGTACCTCACAACTGGTTGTGTGATATGGGGATTTAATTTAGCATTTAGTTTTTCTCATGATACGCTTGAAATGGCAACTCAATAGCTACTCAAACTGGGCTAAGCAGAGACTTTGCTATTGATACCATGGTGACCTGTAGAGATATTAACCATTTTTTGAATCTCGCATGTGAGTTATGATCAATGCTGGTGACGTAGATATGATTACATAACATGATCACTGTCTATACATTCGAAACGAGCCAGAGAGTCCCGAACGTACAACCTCCTAACTTTCGTAACCGTCTGCATATCCTCAAGAACCAAGCTTGATGCGACGAAACGTAGGCTCCGGCCTCATAGGCTCGCGGTTGTCCTCCAGCCACCTATTCCTCTCTCCCTCTTCCAGCCGTGATATCTCACGAACCCGCTTAACGTAATCGACCTCATTCCGCCAAGCGTCTCGTATATGGAAAACGTGTTTATTTACCACTGACTCGCCGAGCTTGGTGTGATGCGCAAACCACCAGTTGATTCGCCATGAAAATATGGAGAGGCCATGCACAATCTGAAACGGTAGATCAGCCAAATGTCGGTTGACATTCCTTCTTGGAGAGAGGGAGAGAGAGAAACGAAGAGGGGCAAGTGACAAGAGACGAAGAGTGAAACTTACGACGCTGCTAACCATGGCAAACCAAACACAAACCTGAACTAGCTCATACAGTACTTCCACATCTCCCCGTAAGCGTCCTTCGGCACTAGTAGTAACATGCTCTTCGAGATACTCGAGCGTGACATGCAGGTAGAAGATGGAACTGACACCAATCGGACCGAACCACCCCATGAACAGCGCCTGCTTCAATGTTTCCACATTTCCCCTCAGCAATCTCGCTTTCCACAGTGCTAGTACCACAGGCAACCTCCTTAGACCCAGGATCGCGATAGCAAGGCATATGAGTCGCCACAGCGGAAGTGGACCGATGCCCAGGTCTCCCTCACCATGGATGGATGGTGCGAATCGTGGCCAGGGACACACAGCGCCAAAGTAGATGAAGATGGCCCAGTTCAGCAGCATGTCAATGGTTGGGTCAAAGCTATCGCCCTCGGATTTCTGGCGAAACCAGTCGTCCCACGTCAAGACGTTGCCGGCTATAAAAGCTGCGAGGATATCATCGCTGCCTACCATGCCGCAGGTGCCGATGAAAAGCAGCACCAGGATGACACTGAAAGCATAACAGGATTCTTTGTCGACGTATCTCAATGCATTGGCAAACCTCAGTGCACGTCGCGCTGCATAGCCCAGCACCAGGCCCCAGGCGACGCTCAGCAACACGACGAAGCCAATGGTCTCGCCAAAGAACATGCCCATCGCTGTACCTGCACTGCCAGCCCCTGACTCAGTGTATTCTCCGTTACCTCCAACATAGCGAATAAGGTAGAGAGCGAAGAAGAGAAAGGGATAACCTAGGCCATCATTCGCTCCACTCTCTGCTTGAATCAGCTGTGCCAGAGCAGGAGAAACATGATTCTCGGCCCATCGCCCCTTGATCACAGTTACAGCGAGAACAGGATCCGTAGGGGCTATGCAAGCCCCAATGGTCAGAGCATGCAGAAATGGCATCCTCTCATTGTCTACCACGCAGATAGCCCAGACCAGGAAGCTGCTTATGACCCACATGCCCAACATGCCCAAGCTAAGGATAGCTACAACAGGTCGCCGAGCATGCTTGAGAAACCGAGCTGGCAGCTGCACACCGGTAAGTATAAACTGGATAGTAAGAACCAGCCTTGTAAAGTCTAGCGTAGCGGTGCGAAGCTGTTGGTCGCCGGCAGCCCAACGCTCGGGCCGTAGGAAATTAGTTACGCGCGGTCCTGCTACGATGCCCACCAACAGGGCAATGACTTTGTTTTACGGCTCACGAGCCAGTAACGCAGACACAATCGACGATAAGTAAGAAAAAAAAAGGGGGGGGGATATGGGGCAGCAGCCAATGTCTCGGAATACTTACGAGACTCGGAAATGAAAAGACGCTCTTTTATCAGGTAAGAGACGAGAGAAAAGCATACTGCAAAAACTCCCACGACACCGCAAACAACATGGAAATCGCTTGTGTTTACATCCGGCATGGCGAGTGATTGCGTAAGCTCCAGGTGCTATCGGTCCAATTCTCTCGGCGAATAGGTATTAGGGTCTACATGGGAAATAGGGGTGTCCGATGTCAAAAAGAAGAAGGGATAAAATAAATTAGAGTAGGTAATAGCATAAGTGAGAGTGGCATATAATGGGATACTTTATCATGTGAATTGTGAATCCCACATGCTTGGCGTGAGTTGATTGGCATCGTCATTCTGACTAACGCCAATGTCCCCATGCAGAGTGACTTGCCTGATTTTTCGACGTTGCGCATGCGATCTTGTTTAAATCACGATCTCTGTGTTCGTTAATTCCATATTATCACGGTATCAATGAAGCATCGGTAACATAGTGCAACTCCGTTAGTGGGGGTTTTCATCGTTAGATGTGATCGATTTGGCTCGCTTTAAACCGCACTCCCGCTGGTGTTTGCTCCAGCATGTGGACAGAAAGACATACCCTAAACGTCATATCTTGAAAGCCAAGAAATTATTTGACAATTTCTTGCCTCGTGAATACGTATGAGGCAAATGTGTAGAAATTGTGCGTCTGGGCCATGGTGTTCCAAGATTCTGTCTTGGTAAGTATTCTTGGTCGGTGCTCACAATTCAGCAATCCTCCATGGTATGATACAAGTGCACACAACGTCTCGCAGCACCTAGTTAGTACTCAAATCCAGCTTACTGATTTGTAACATGCCTGAGCCAGGCTAGCACTATTTAGTACTAGGAATGTTCCAATGAATGTATCTTCTGTAATTCGCTGTCATCTCTTCGTAGCGGCTTACCTCTTCTCGCGGATAATAACTTAAATCGTACAACACCTAAAAGTGCCATATCCCAGATAGCCTAAGCTCTATATATGATTAAATCGCAAGATCACCAATCTGTACGCGTAGTCTTTATGGAGTCGTACATGTTTCATTCTTCATCGTACAGTACCCATTTTTGCATCCAATTTCTTCCTCTACCTTACTCATCGAACCCCATGTTATTCAAGATAGCGTCTTCTGAAAGTCAATTATCACCAACATATGGAAGCAAAGTCACTCTTTCCAACATGCTCAACATCATTCTCAGCATCGCCGTGGCCCGCAGGCGCAAAGTCAGTCGTTACGAGTGTAACATACAACACAGAAAGTAAGACAACTTACATCAACCGCATCCGTACCAAGTACAGCTCCAGCTCAAAAACCTACTGAATAGCACATGTCAATCGTCCCCTAATCTGCTCTCAGATGAAGCCGATGAAAACACGCGCAATCACGCTTTTAAATCCGTACCCAGTTCCCACATAAAGCCTCTTACCTACCTCAACATCAACCCAAAACGAGAACAATAGTGCTACTTAGTCTTTCACGGCTCCGGTAACAACGTACGCATGTCAAGTGCAGCTATCTGTAAAGCCGACACAAGAAACGAAGAATCAAAGTGTCAGTGGGAAACGAAACATGACAACACTATATGGGAGAGTTGTAACCCTCAAGATGGGATTGTTAGTTTTTAGGAACGAGGCACCGAGGGAAAGGCTAGCTTGAGCTATGGATATCGCGGCCCTTAGCTGCAGTGCGTAATCATAGGTATGGCAGAGTTAGAAACTGAGGTGCGTTGAGTTTTCGCTAGGAGAGTATGACAGTACAAGACGAAAAAGTGGGTTTGGAGGTTGGAACAGAACAGATGTGCTACGTGCAGGATCTGATGAACTTGAAAGGTGCGGTGTTGATGCATATACAGGAGGGAGTTTCGGATATTGCCAAATGATGCGAATGGACTGCATTCTAAGTATTTAGGTATTTTTCTTTTTTTTCGCGAATCGAATTCGGATATCACTCTAATAAATACAACGGCAAAGATGAATTGCGAGTATTTATAGAGTAACATGTCATTATTATGCAACAGCGTATTGCCTACGCAAGCTAGAAAGGTGGCTAGTGAAATTGGCTTTATCGTATATCGTCAATCATATTGGCGTTATTGCATGCCATCTTGCTCGGGCCATCGCAGGTCTGAACCGGAAAACTGCGGAAAAGTAAAGGGCGGGATGAGCATATTGCCTGCGCCTGTCTCTGCACTACCAAACATTCTCTCAACATCGTTCTGTTTTTGTCAGCATAGAGCATCGACAGCGGTACGAGGCACTTACCCAATCAATATCGTTGATGGCGTCCATGGAGTTGCTGCCAGTTGATCCGGGCGTCATGCCGTATACTGCAGAATTCGGGCTACTGGCATTGCTGCTGGCGCCATGTTCTGCTACAGACGCATATCTTTGGGCAGGAGTTGTGAGACGAAAGTCACTGTAGGTTGATGGATGTGAAACTGGAAGTGATGCTGGAAGGTCGATAGTGCCCCACTCCACGGTCGGGATAGCACCCGGAAACTGGGCTATCCTAGCACCCAGCGTCGACCCATGTTGCAAAGTCGATTGATGTGGTGAAGGTGCAAGTTGTTGTGGGGTCGGTCTCCCGCCCAGACCATGTGGAACAGGTCCCGTGTTGGCCATAGGGGTTGGCACACTTTTCTGTCGGTGCCTGTCTTCTTGTTGAGCTTGTGATCCCGACTCTAGCGCTGGCACTGCTGCTAACATATTTGTTGGGGCGCGGACTCTCTTGATTTCGGAATATATCTTCGATTTACCGACCAGATCCTCTAAGACTATTCTCCTCTTTTCATCGTTGGAAAGTTCAGGAGGAAGGTTGAAAGAGTAGTCCAAGCATCTCCAAATCCGCTGTTCCGTAGCCGGGTCTGGATTGGATACACAAACTTCGTTGACAAGGAGAAGCGCAGAATGGTGCTGATGGAGAGCACCAACAATCCATGACCATGAGGATAAGATGGGATGCTGTTCAATTGCCATTCCGTGTTCCAGAATCATTGTCGCAGCACTCATAATAAGCTGACGCAAGCGCTCAGGCATCTTGTTGCGAGCACTCGCTATGTACTTTTGCAATATGGAAACGTAGAGCCTATTTGAGACGATCCCGTGAAGTTCTGAAGCCAGGACATGCAGCGGCTCCAGCTTGTTGAGCATTGGGAGGTATTTCTTTTCCATGGCTGCTTGAAACGACTGGACTCTTGATAGGATAGAGGTGATGGTGACTCCGCTCTTGTCGCCTGTGCGTTTCCGGTCCAGTTTTGGTCTTTCACTCCAGAGAAAACGATGCATCTCGTAGGCTTCAAAGCGCATACGGCTTATGGTCATGTCCGTAAACCGATTGGAGTCTTTGCTAACATCTACGCTGCGGTCACCTCGTTCGGCCCGGTCCAGGTCATCATCATCGACGTTAAGAGGAAAGCGCGTGTCGTAGTCGTCAAGATGGATCTGCGGCCGGGGGCCCACGGCGTCACAAGTACGAAGATCCAGGAAGCAGATCTGGTACCACACGAGGCGCCGTACCTGGCATTCGATGGGAGAAGTGCTGTACGCAGTAGGGTCGCGATGGAGCCCCATGCATTCAGCAAGTCGTATCAATGATCCTGTGAGTGCAGAATGGGCACGGGACACTTCATTGCGGCACAAGGGAATCTGAGATCGGCAAGTTAGAAGTGGGACGTCTTGTAGTACTTGCAGCACTTGCTCATAGCGAAATGCAAATGGGCGGGCATACCAGATACATGACAAAAGCCTGGACTGTTTCCAGCTTTGTGGTGCGCAGAAAGTTTGCTTTGGCGAGAGCTGCCTCGGTCCCCTCGCGGAAGCTGTTCACCAACGTTTGTTTGTCGACACGAAACTCAGCACTCACTCTTTCATCCTTCATAGAGACGACAGAGCCTAACAGAGCTGCAAAGAGAACGGCCTGGAATGAAGGGCGGGGCTCCATTCCCATGTTGACCCTGATCCAGAAATTCTGATACTGTCTCTCGAACGAAGGACGATGCACGACCCGAGAAATGGCATGCACAGCAATCCAATAATGGGCGATCAGTTTGTCGACGACAAAGCGTGCGGGTAAGTAAGACGCGAGCGACACATTGTCGACCCCAGAAGCCAGTACGAAATTCGAAGATGGCGCGACATAGTCTTGGGTTGGTGCTAACCAGACAGCCGGATCTTCCTCGATATTTGGCCTAGGGTGAGACTCGTGGTTGGGCAGTTGCTTCAGCGTCTGGGCCAACTAAGAAAAAGAATGTCATTATAGATGACCGATGTAGCACTTTGCAGACTTACCTCATCCGAGAATCGTGGGCGTACGAGGCCCCCAATACGTTCTGTGATTCGTACCTTGCCCATGCGGAAGCCGAGATCGACCATATCGTCGTTCGTATCGTCTTCGGGTTCATAGTAGGCGGCATCTTCAGTGACCAAACCTGTCGGTCGAAGGTTCTTGATCTCTTCATCGTCTTCCTGATCACTCTGGTGATTCTGGCCAGGGAGTGTGCTCAGTCCGGTCAACTCAAATGGACTCGTGGTGCTGGACTGTGCCTTGCGAGCGACGCCTTCTTCGAGGCTTCTCTCGAGCATGCCCATCTGCTCCTTGAGCTCGGCGAGCTTTGCCTGGGCATCCGAGTCCAACGCTTGGGCGATAAAGACACATGATCGAGCGTTTTTGGTGCAATGTGTGCATGGATGGCCTTTGTCACATTTTAGTTTTCTTCTTCGACACTCAAGACATGAAGTGATGAGTCGGTTCCGACGACGAACACGTGGTTGGGGTTGGTGCGTCTTTCGCTCAGCTGGACCAGACGTGGGTGTCTGACTAGGCCGCTGGGCCCCCTCCTGGCTTGGCACAGGCGCGCTGGACATGATGGGGTGAGGTGCAGCTGCAACCCCCGTACCACGAGGCTCGATCTCTTACGGGCGTAAGATGCAGATGCTGAGCTGGGGGTTAGCGATGCGCGAAGGAATAGACTAAGCGGGAAGCGACGGTTACGTACATTAGCTACCGGATCCTTTCGTCTTCCTGACGGCCCTGGAAGAGTTGTTCTCGAGAAGCTGAACGTCGCAAGGTAGATGTTGGGGGGTACTTGGGCGAGCTGAGCTCTCGGGCTCGATGTTTGGGTAGGCTGAGGAGAGGATTGTCTGGAACGCATCGGCGGAGACGTGTACCTCTCGACCCTTTCCCCTTTTGGGATTCTGGGATTTTCCTGCGATAGGAACAGGCTCTGTATGTAGTCTGCGTCGGCTGCTCCCTTGCGACATGATAGAAGGGCCGTCAGCCGCCCCACCCCGGCTCTCCCGCGCAACATGGACGAGCTGCTACTACTACTAGTAAGATCGTCTTTGTCAGCGTCGCTGGCTCGAGTTAGTTATCTTTGCCAAGCTCTTCTTTGTCCATCGGCAGGCGATCTTTGGCGACACTGCATCCTAGGCTGCACCAATGACTCTGCTACTCAGAGCCGCCAAAAACCACTCTGCTGCCATGTGCACCTTGGGCATCGAGGGGGGGTTGCCCTGAGGTCCGCTGACCTTTTACTTTTAGCGAACACGAACCTTACTGGGCAAACGCATGGCTCTGGTGCTGTCATTCGATCCGGACCGATTGCAAGAGGCGTCATACATGCTGGTTCCTGGCTACCGTTGCGCCAGGCACTGGGTTGGGCCTTGAATGCGGTGTTCCTGAGGCTCGCAAAGCTAATGCCGATTGACTGAACCTTAATGTCGCTAGCTGTGTACACGTACGCGGATGTGCGCGTGGGCGGGGTGTGACCCGGCATGAGTAGCATGCGTTGGATGCAGGGCGCAATTCGTCTTGTGCTCGTGCTCGTGCAGAGAGCCGTTTGCGGTGACGATGATGATGATGATGATGAAAATGACGATGACAATGCCGGCGATGGTGACGGTGACACCCAGAACGCGAAACGCGAAACGCCTGGTCACGTTTCCCGTCAACGCGACCCGCGACGGGGCTCTCTGGAGCCAGTGATGGTTGCCGCCGCGATTTCTCTAACGCACGTCCTCACCGCTTCCACAACAAACACTTTGCATTGTTGCCTCTTTGGCGGCCTCCCCACCCACACCCACTCCCACCTCAACCACCCACCCACCCACTCGACGCCCTCCAATTCCACCGCCCTCCCCCATCCATTCTCCTCTCGCCCCTCCCCGTCCACCCCGTACAGCCTCAATCATGTCTGTCGTGTCGCTTCTCGGCGTCGAGGTTAAGAACAACCCCGCGCGCTTTGACGAGCCCTACGAGTTTGAAATCACATTCGAGTGCCTCGAGCAGCTGCAAAAGGGTGAGTGCACTCGCTGCCAGTGCCCGCCACGCACACACGCTGACAATTGTAGACCTCGAGTGGAAATTGACCTATGTCGGCTCCGCGACCTCGTGAGTCGCCTCAAACCCCCCCTCACCCCATCGTAACTGCGTCTAACGGGCACCAGCAACGAGTATGACCAGGAGCTAGACTCAGTTCTCGTCGGGCCCCTCCCAGTTGGCGTCAACAAGTTCCAGTTCCGCGCCGACCCTCCGGACCTATCGCGCATCCCAAACAGCGAAATCATTGGCGTCACAGTCATCCTGCTCAGCTGCAGCTACGATGAGCGCGAGTTTGTCCGCGTCGGCTACTACGTGAACAACGAGTACACAGATGAGGCGCTCGCCCTGGACCCGCCCACCAAGCCCGTCATTGAGAAGGTGCAGAGGCAGATTCTTGCAGAGAAGCCTCGCGTTACCCGCTTTGCCATCAAGTGGTATGTTGCGCCCCTTGCATAGATGCCACTTTGTATGCCGCTAACTGGATCAGGGACTCTGAAGAGTCTGCACCGCCCGAGTTTCCCCCCGAGCAGCCAGAGGCCGACCTCACGGCCGACGGAGACCAGTACGGCATCGAGGAAGAGGAAGAAGAAGACATCGAAGGCGAGGGCGCCGCCGCAGAGGGAGACGATGCCGCCATGGCAGGTGGCGAGGACACGGCCGGCCCCGCTAACGACGACGACGCCGAGTCCGAGGCTGGCAGCGAGGAGATTGACATTGAAGATTCAGAAGACGACGAAGAGGAGGAGGGCGAAGAGGGCGGAGACGACGACATGGACATGGACGATGCTGAGCCAAGCGCTGCCAGCGGCGACAAGCCGGCCGCGCAACAACAGCCCGGGGGCGCCGCACAACAGCAACAGCAACAGCATGGCGCAGATGTCATGGTACACTAAGCGGGGCATCGACGTCTCGCAGCCGGCTGATTATCTGGCCTTGTATACCTGCCATTTCGGATGCTTTGCAACTGCTTGGTAGTCTTCAGGATAGGTGCCTCTCCGACTTGCAGTAGCTACAGTTTGCAGCAAGTAGTTCTTCCCTTTGCCACGAAATTTCAACGCACGATTCCCACGGTCAGCATCGTGTCCCCATGTTGGTGTGTGTGACGATGATGCGGCCGCCCGAGCGTCTCTTGCGTGATGGTGAGTAAGAAGACGAGGACACGCAGCCACGCAAGCCCGCGCCGCGCCGGCACATATGGACATACTTACACGTAACCCTTCATCTCCCTAAAAAAAACCTTGGATAATAATATGCCGCTAGACCCGAAGGCGGCGACGCTGGATGCCCAAGACGCCGTGCCAACCCCACCAAAAGGGGTGGCCCGAAACCAAAACACTATTATAGTGATAATGCACAGCCTCGGGGGGCATGGGGGGCATGGAATGGCGCAGCAGCGGGCCCCAATGCGCGCACCAAGCTCGAGACGCGAGGCGCATCCGACGACTGATACTTTAATCCATACATACTTAGTACATAATAGATGGAGGATGGGGTGCACGACATGGGTGACGTGCGCAGATCGCTCCCCAGCGTCTCTCTCTGCTTGCTCGTGCTCGTGCCGGTGTGACGGACTGACTGTCGAAGCGCGCGCGGTGGTGCAAGACTCATGACACTCACCTGAACTTGACGTCAAGCGACTTCACTGGCCGGGATATACCAGAAGCCCCGATCGACGCCTGTTTCAGCGGCACGCAGCTCTTCTGCTTCCACTTCCACCTCGCTCCGCGCCGCGCTCCTTCTCTCCCACTCCCGCTCTCGTCCTCGCATGCCCCATAGACACCCCGCCTCTCTCGACCTCCGCCCCCGACCCGCCTGCACTCGTGCTCGTGCCCGCCGCCAGCGCTGCGCTCCCCCGCGGCTCGCCGCCAGCCAGCCAGCCATACACGTACATACATACATACTCACATACATACACACACACGGCCACGCAACATCGCCCGCTCCCTCGTGTACGATCCCCATACAACCGCCAAGGGTAGCCGGCAAGGGCGCGCTTAGCGATAGCGATTCAGGCACGTACCCCACCAACGTCAAAGGTACGTTCATTTCGTGCTCCACGCGTCGCTCGGCATGCACCATGGCCTCCGGGCCCCCATCTCGGGAGGGCGTGTGGGAGGCGGACACCTGCATTCATGGCAACACCGTCGCCGAGGGCTCGCGCTAACATTGCACGCACGCTTGTGCAGTGTGTCGATAGGGCCTGACAATCCATCGCCATCATGAGCTATCACCAAGGGCAACCCCAGCTAGGGGCAACCTTTGTGCCCGGAGGCATCGATGACTATTATATGCCGGCGCCTGCGCCTGAACTCATCTCGCCTGCGCCTCAGCGGTTCGTTCTAGCCCATCGCTACATGCACGCCCTAAAATTGCGGCTGACGTAGGTTTGGCGGCAGGATCATGCCCGAAGTCCCGGAGAACATGCAGGAAAACATTGCTCATCTGGAGTTGGAGGCCAACGGTCCCCGAGGCACAAACGGCGCCATGTCACCAACCCAGGGCTACAACCAGTCGCAGCCGCACATGCTCCCGCGGCAGCCAACCTACACCAGCGAGCTGCCCGCCCACAACGACCAATGGCCATCCCGCCACGGGAGCATCTCTGCTGCCTTTCGCCAGCCGCCAAACGTGCAGCCCCAGCCTGTACAGCAGCAGCAGTCGTCGCACGACTACAACCAATTCGCCCAGAACAACGATGCCCCCAACTTCTCGCCCTTCCCCAAGCTCCCGAACAGACCGCCCAACGTGCCGCCGTCCGACGACGAAAAGGAAGCCGTCCTGGAAAATGCACGTCTGCCCGTCCTCAACTCCAATGACCCCGAGATGCAGCTGGCTTGGGCACAAGATGCGCTGCAATACGTAGACGCTGCACAGTTGCATGAACAGCGCATTTCGGAGATTCAGGGGGCGAGGCCGGTGACGCCCCAGGTCGAGCACCAGCTGCGCGTCGACGCAATGAACGTCGTCACGTTTCTGGCAGACCAGGGCCATCCAAAGGCGACCTTTATGCGGGGCATGTGGTTGGAGTTTGGAAAGTTTGGTATGCGCGCAGACAAGAAGGAGGCGTTTCGATGCTACTCTCGTGCGGCAGCAAAGGGGTATGCCCGAGCAGAGTATCGAATGGGCATGCAGTTTGAGCAGGCAAACGATCCTATCAAGGCTCTGCAAAACTACAAAGCTGGTGCGGAGCAGGGCGACTCGGCCTCCAACTACCGTCTTGGTATGATGACGCTCCTCGGGCAGCATGGACAGCCTCAGGATTTTGCAAGGGGCATCCAGCTCATCAGACAGGCTGCTGCTACTGCAGACGAGAATGCTCCCCAGGGCGCCTACGTTTTGGGCATGCTTCAAGCACGCGAACTTCCGCAGATCAGTGTTCCCGAAACCTTTCTACCCTATGACGAGAGGGGTGCGCGACAAAACATTGAAAAGGCCGCATACCTCGGATTTGCAAAGGCCCAGCTCAAGATGGGATCAGCCTACGAGCTCTGCAGCTTGGGTTGTGAGTTCAATCCCACGTTATCGCTGCACTACAACGCGCTTGCGTCCAGGCAAGGCGAGCCTGAAGCAGACATGGCCATCAGCAAGTGGTTCCTTTGCGGACATGAAGGCGAGTTCAACAAGAACGAAGAGCTGGCGTTCCAATACGCGCAACGAGCTGCGGCTGCAGGCCTCGCCACTGCAGAGTTTGCCATGGGCTATTTCCATGAGATTGGTATGAATGTGCCAGTCAATCTCGACAAAGCTCTCGAATGGTACGCAAAAGCCGAGAAGAATGGGAACAAAGACGCGACTGGACGTATAGAGAGCATTTCCAAGCTGTCGCGGACACTGTCAAAGAGGGACCATGAGAATGTGGCAATCAACATGATCAAGTCAAAACACGGCTCTATGCGAGGGCAGCGGCCAGAAAGGTTCCAAAAAGGCCCTGCTATCCTGCCGTCTATCAGCGATGTAAGCCCCTCTGATTACGGTTCAGATGCCTCGCCTGCTACCCCCGTGGGCGGCCGACTCCCACCTCGGGGCGACACCACAACACCGTATCCCGTCTCTGACCAGCCGCCTATCATCTCAAACCTGCCCATGTCGGCACCCTACGACCGTCCGTCCACGGCAGCACCCTACCCTATGGACAATGGCCCTCCACGGCTGAGCCCGCAACGCCCAACCATGGCTGGTGGATTTGCGCCGGAATTGAGGGCTGCCAGCGCCCGACCCACTTCATCATCTGCTTTCAATATCAACCCCAACATTTATCCAGCAAATGACCCTTACGGCCGCGGTAGCCCACGGCCGGGCCCTGGATCTGACATGGGACCAATACCATTGCGGCCTCACACCAGTGTGGACAATATGGGGTCAGGGCGAGGGCGTGTTCCTATCGGTGGTCGGGGTGGACTGCCAGGGGGACCGGGGGCCTACAGGCAACCCGGAGGGCCCAGCGCTCAGCGTCCAGAGATGCAGAACCGTCCATCAACAACACAGCCCCCAGATATTGGATACAGTGCGCCAGATGGGCGAAACAAGCTGCAGAAGCAGCCAGGAGCCCCGCTTAAGAAAGCGCCCACGTTACCGGATATCGGCTATGTCGCGCCCCTTGAGACTCGTCAACACACCCGACCTTCCACAGTTCAGCCAGGTCAGGAGAGTAGGACATCTTCACGACCTGGGTCAGCTGGCCGAACCGGTGGGTATGATAACATGTCGAACCCTAATAGAGTGCAAGCGTTGCAGCAGCAGCCACAGCAGCCACCACCACAACCACAGCAGCAGCAGCAGCAGCAACAACAACAACAACTGCCTTCCAAGCCATCCCCGGGGCCTGGAAGCAAGCCGGCCACGCCGACGCCTCCCAGTAAACCTGCACCTTCGGCTGCTCAGGGACCAGGAAAGGGACCGAAGACGTTTGATGAAATGGGGATTGGACAAGCGCCCAAGGAGGGCGATTGCGTAAGTTCAGGCCAACTTTGTTGATGATGATATGCTGACAGAAAATTAGGTCCTGATGTAGAACTAGTGGCATTAGCATGGCTCTGTTGAGCGACTCTTGCATAGCGGGTTGTTTTGTATTGCATAGTAGGAACCGGCCACAGGCTGGGCTCCCATTTACACTTCTTGAGCTTCTTCAACCCTTTGGAGTCGAGGTACCCAAATATACGAGTTTAAAATATACCCAAATACCTACGAGCATAAGTGTGCCGCTGGGGTTGTGGTTTGATCAGAGTTTGACATGTGTAACGGCTTCCATTGCGTAATCCAAAGATACGCGCTCGAACGCGCTGTCACGTGATCTTACAAAGCCTGTTCTAACCAGATATCCCCCTTTGATGTGGCTTCTCGTCACAGCGTTAAAACTGTTGCTATCACTGCCACATTAGTATTTTTGGTCCCGGAATATTAGCCTATATCAAACAGACTTGTGTGCCCCAACGTGAAGTGAGATGTGAAATGGGATGTGAATCTGCCCATGTACTGCGCGGGCACTAGCGCGGTCCCCCAACGCTACGGTGGGGAAGGAGCGCGTTCTGCGTCACCTCACCCGCAATCCTCGACGAGCCTCCGACCTTGCCCGCCACCAAGATCAAACCCCTTCTGTACGACTACAGCGGATGCAGTATCCGCTGCAGCCATGTCTGCGAAGCGCCCCCGGGCCCCTACGAACGGCGTCAATTCGAGCGGCTTAGCCCGCGACAGTCGCGTAGGTTGACTGTTCCCGTGTGCGACCGAAGACTTAGCTCATATGATTGCAGAACAAGCGACCCCGCCAATCTGAGCCTGAGAGTAGCGCAGGATCTTCAGATGACGAACGATCCGATGCGGCGAGCGACAGCGACGCTTCTGACCAAGAAGACGAACAAGCACGGAACGCCCAAGAAATATGGGCCACACAACAGGTGCAGAAGGAACGCCGGGAGACTGCCAACCGGCAAAATATCGCGACCGACTCGGGCATCATTGAAGAGATCCAATGCATCAACTTCATGTGCCACGAGCACTTGACAGTGACGCTGGGGCCGCTCATCAACTTCATCATAGGGCACAACGGTAGCGGCAAGAGTGCCGTGTTGACTGCCCTTACAATATGTCTGGGTGGAAAGGCCACAGCAACGAACCGCGCACAGAATCTCAAGAGCTTGATTAAAGAAGGCAAGGACTACGCATCTGTTACCGTCAAGATCAAGAACCAAGGACCTCTTGCATACAAGCCCGCACAGTATGGCGACTCGATCATTGTCGAGCGACACTTCAACAGATCCGGAACGTCAGGATTTAAGCTCAAGGACAAGAACGGCAAGCTTGTTACGAATAAGAAAGCCGAGCTTGAGGACATCCTGGATGCCTTCTCAATGCAGATCGACAATCCAATGAATGTCTTAACGCAGGACATGGCAAGGCAGTTCCTCAACCATTCGACCCCAAAGGACAAATACAAATTCTTTCTTCAGGGCACGCAGCTAGAGAACTTGAACAGAGACTACCAGCAAATCGAGCAGTCTTTGGAGGTAATGAATGCAAAATCAGATGTCAAGGAGACTGATCTGATTGTACTAAGACGCCAGATGGAGGAGCTCGAAAAGAAGGCCCGCCGAGCTCAGCACCTTGAGTCTTTACGAGCCAAGGAAGTGATTATTGCGGGACAAGCTGCATGGGCTCACGTCGAAGAAAAAGAGAAGGAGGTTGCGGATGCAATGGCCGGGGTCGAAGAAACCGAAGCCAAGATCCTCGAACGGCAGGGCAAGGCAGACGAGGCAGCAGAACGCTATGAGCGGGCTGACGAGGCCCACGAGGCCGCCAAGCAAAAGGTGACTGATATCACAGCTGAGATGGAGCCTGCGAGTCAACTTGCAGACGAGGCAAAGGCAAAATTTGATGATGTCAAGGGGAAACTCAAGCAACTACAATCTGACGAACGGCAAGCGCGAAGCGAAATGTCAGCGAAGAAGTTGGAGATGAAGAAATACGAAACACAGATAGAGCAGCACCAGCAACGCCAGGCTGAAGCAGACAACGGACTATATGCCGAGAAGATCCGTGAGCGTGACGAGGCCAAGTTCCAGTGCGACAGAGCTAGAGAGACGTACACAGGTCATGACACTACTCGCCCACAACTGCAGGCCCAGCTTGAGGCAGCGATGAAGGAGCAGTCAATTGCCCGCCAAAAAGTTGACAAGGCGCGCGAAGATGCGGCGCGTATCCGAGGCGTCATCTCTAATCTAGAGGGAGGTCAGAGTAACTGGATAGACGCGTACGCAAACGCCGGAAAACTCAAGGTTTTACTCAGTGCGATCCAGTCGGAACGCAGATTTCGCGAGCCACCAGTAGGGCCTATCGGCCATCACGTTAAATTACTGAACTCCAAGTGGGGACGTATCTTGGAAAAGCAATTTGGTCAAATGCTCAACGGCTTTGTCGTCACTAGCAAGCAGGATCAAAGTACTCTGTCCACATTGATGAACAGAGCCGGCTGGTGCGTAGTCCCCTTGGGAGTTTTGCAGAGCAAGCTAACACTCTCAGGCATGCGCCTATATACATTGGCAACCGGACTCGCATTAATACCGAGAATAATGAACCGGCCCGAGACCTCCTAACTTGGATGAGAGTATTGACAGTAAGAGCAACTTGCACAAGCATTGCAACCGAAGATATAGGCTCACCAGCCTCTAGATTGACAATGACCTTGTCAGAAATCAGCTCATCATCAACCAATCAATAGAGCAAACCATACTGATAGAAAGCATGGCCGAAGCGTACAAGTTTATGGATCCCCGATCGCGTCCACGGAACGTCAAGATGTGCTTTACATTCGCAGACGGTGACAATCGAAAGGGCCGAGTGATTAGTTTTAGTCCTAATGGGGGAGTCAACAACAGTCCCATTGACGAATACATGGGAAATCTGCGTATGCAAGTCGACCAAGATGCGCAGATTCGGTAAGTGCTGCTGTTAGCTTTTGCGAATGTCTTACTAACTGATGCTTCAGCGAGGAGCGAGCTCGTCTGGGTTCAGTTATGCGAGAACTGCAAACGGTTGAAGAAACAGCAAGACAAGTGCAAGAGCAGGTCAATGCTTGTAAGACGCGCGAACGTGACCATGAGCGGGAGAAAAAGGCACTCAAAGTTGCACTGCAGCATGCGACGGACAACTTGGATCGGCTTGAGGGCGAGCTGAGCGAGGCCACGCCTGACGCCTCGGCCATTGAGGTGGCGAGAGAAATGCTGGACAATGCGAAGGAGGAGTACCAACGTCTGGAGGGCCTTTTCGAGGACTTGCAGTTGCGCAAGCACCAGCTGAACGAGGAGAATCAAAACAACAAGTGCAAGATGGAGGAAGCGCAGAGGTCTGTCGAAGAGCTCAAATTCCGACTGGAGAAAGCGCGATCTACGGTGCGTAAATTGCAGAGCACGCGCGAGGACGAGCTCAAGGAGAAGAACGATGCTATTGCCAGGGTTGCCAAGGCCAGAGCAGTCAGGCTCGAATGGGAAGCCAACGCAGAAGAGTTACGGAGAGAACTGGAAGAAGTGATTGAGGGTGCCAGGGGGGTTTGTCCGGAGCGGGTGCCTGTTCCGGCTGGAAAGAGCTCTGATATGCTCAGCCAGATGTTGGCAAGGCTGGAGGCGACCAGAAAGGAATCGGAAAAGGATCTAGGTGGGTCGCAAGATGAGCTGCTGCGAGCGGCGAATGAAGCGAAGAGGATGCACAAAGACGCAATGCAGGAGTTTGATAACATCAAGGAGTTGCGCAACGTAAGTTGAGCTGTGTATGGCGATGGGCGCAGCTGACCTGTAGCAGCAACTGATTACGACGCTTAACAACCGGCGCAATCGATGGAAGCAATTCAGATCGGGCATCTCGGTGCGGGCACGCGTCACGTTCAACTATCTGCTGAGCGAGCGCAAATTCAGAGGCACGTTGAGTATCGACCATCAAAAGGGACTGCTCGACATTCACGTAAGTTGACGGGCGCTTGGTGTGTGGTGCATTGCTAATTGTGTTGCAAGGTCCAACCGGACATTATGGAGCGGAGCGGAGATGGTAGGCAGACAAAGACGCTGTCGGGAGGCGAGAAGTCGTACTCGACCGTGTGTCTGCTGCTGTCGCTGTGGGACGCGATGGGCTCTCCGATCCGGTGTTTGGACGAATTGTAAGTTGGGCCGGGGGTGTGTTGTGCTGTGGCGACTAACCAGGCATAGCGATGTGTTCATGGACAGCGTGAATCGCGAGCGGAGCATGCACATGATCATTCAAGCGGCGCGGCGCTCGATTGGGCGGCAGTTCATCTTCATTACTCCGCAGTCGATGAGCAGCGTCAGCCAGACGTCGGACGTCAAGATCATCAAGATGACGGATCCGGAGCGAGGCCAGACGGCGTTGAATGTCCGGCGGGGGTGAGTGGTGAGGGACGGACGTGTGTGCATGTTGGCGGGGATGGCGTGGTTTTGCTGGCGGACATGGCCGTGGGGCGTGTGTATCAGCTGAGGGGCTGTCTTGGACACGGAGTTTGTGGATGGCTATACCCACTCGAAAGGGCGTTGGGCGGTTCTATTTTGATATCGTGGTGTTTGTATGCAGCATGGTTGGTGGTGACCGGTCGCGGTACCCACTTGGCGCTGCAAGGAGCTCGACCGGTAGCAGCAACATGCGCGTAGCCCGCTTGCTTTTCTTTTTGGCTGCCACGGTGCCCGAGGCGGCAGCGGGGGCGGCGTGTGCGCCACGGGGCGGGCGTGAAACCAAGTGAGGCGTGGGCGTGGGCGTGGGCGGCGGTTGCGCAGGAAACGGGCGTGGGCAAGGCGGATGTGGATGTCGATGTCGATGTGCACCGGGATGGGCCAGGGTCTCTTGGCCGCCCACGTCGATTGGCAGCCGATGACAACCTCGCAACTCTTCGCGGCCGCGCACATCCCATGCACATGCACGAGCAGCATTGCCGTGCTGTTCTCGCGCCTGGCCCTCAACCCTCCGCCGCCGGGCAGTGCTGGCCTCTCCTCTCTCTGCAACCATGGCCGACTCCCCGCTCCTGCCCGCCACGCCCACGCCCACGCCCGCATCGCCCCAGCCCGACGACGCTGACTTTGCCCGCTCGTTTTCGCCCTCGCTGGACGACGCGCAGCTGCTGCGCATGAGCCGCAATGCCGATGCGGAGTTCGCGAAGCTTCGCCTGGGACCTGGCGATCAGGATGCTCATCTCGTCCAGGTACGGCAGCTCGTCGATATCCAGGACGCTCAGACTCTTGAGTGCGGGAATCACGGAGAAGGTGGGATGTTCGACTCGATCCAGCGCAGACAGGCTGGCGGGTGCATATGGCGGGACTACGACAACAGGCGCCTGGACGGTGCCGAGGCCGCTCGGGTGCACCGTGTTCGGAGGCGGAGGCAGGGTCTGGTTGTTGAGGATCATTGGCGGTGCGGGCGGAGGGACGGGTGCGTCGATGGTGTTGTCATGCCATCGGATCCACAGGCGGTCGAGACGGCACTCTTCGCCGTCGCTCCGGTGTGCAAGGCTCGACAGTGCCAGCCAAACATCACGGAGCACGCCTGTGGGCATGTCCCACACAAACGTCTCGAGATTTACCATGCGCGCAATGGCCAGCGCAACCAGAGTGCCCAGCATCTTGCCCCCCTCTTTCGTGATCATGTACTCCTGGACCCATGCCTGCGGCCCGTTGCCCAGCGAGAATTTCTTGGTGAACTGGCCATAGTAGTTTCCGAACCGGCGCTGGGGCACGGGGTAGGGGTTGGCGGCGGTCCTGAGCAGCGACGTGGGCGTCTGTCCCTGCAGTCGCAAGCGGTGCTGGTGGGGGAAGCAGTCGTCGCCCATGACCAGCGTAGCCAGGCCGTACGTGAGGGCGTCGACGCCGGCACGCGGCTCGTTGTGGGTGCTCTCGTCGGGCCATACAATGTCGAAGCGCGAGTAGATGCACGGGATGGTGAGGCGGTGGAGGGCCGAGTGGCAGAGGCACAGCGACGTCAAGTCGTTTGTGTGCGGGAGCTGTTGGGGCGGCGGGTCAGCGGGTGTCGACGCAGCCGTGGGCCAGGCGGACGGCGGCGGCGGCCACACTCACCTGGTGGATGATTTCCTTGAGGATGTCGACGGGCAGGTCCAGCAGCCTCAGCGGGCCCTTGGCCGCCTTCTCTTTGCCCTTTGGCGGCGTGGCGGGCGCGGGCTCGGGCGTCGCGCTCACGGCAGCGGGCGCGGGCGTGTGTGCCCACACGTCGTCGGGCGGTCCTTGGGCGGCCAGCAGCGTGACTGGGTCACTGTATGGGAAGGTGAAGGCCTGCAGCAGGTGGACTATAGCACGACATCAACGGCAGCGTGCTCCATAGGCGAGAAAAGACTGGGGGGCGTGTTGGGCATTCTGGTGGGGCGCATACACAACATGCGCCATTCAGAAGAGCCGCTCTCGCAAAAACCAGGTGCTGCAGGGATTACGGAGCGGTCGGTCGAAGCGACGCCGATGAAAACGACTGTATCACAGCCTTTGCCTTCTATAGCTTCGCTCTCCTTGCATGAACGCGAAGCCGACCAAGATGTCGACCACTTTGGTAATCCGATGGATGACTCGTCCATGACCGAAGGAGTCAGTGTGTTCGATAACCAGCCTGTTGGTGTGGAACAAGCCCCGCATTCAGCACATCCGGACAAGTCCAACTTGAAGTCTCACCCGATGCATTCCCTACACGAGCAAAGCACCCATGAACAAGACTCACTTCAGCATGCGGCAGAGCCTCTGCTGACAGGCAAGCTGAAACTTGAAGTTTTGGAACTCGAACGCGTCCCCCTCTCTGTCCCTGTGCTGCGTCGAGCTTTTGACTGGTCTATGCTATCCACACTAACCCTCCTGCACTGTAGCAATCATGAGCAGCTGTGGAAGACTTTGAGAAGGGCATACACGCCTCGCCCCCCCTATCCGGGCTCGCCGTCATCGTCAAAAGCATACAAGGCTTCCTATACTCTGCGATCTGAATACCAACTGAACTTGAAGCGCATTCACACTAACACAGTCTCACCCTCACTCATCTCTTTCTTGAAGGAAACCTTGGCGCCCAATAGTCTAGAGGTTCTCTTCCTCCAAGAGGGCCGCTCATATTCGTCTACGGTAACAGTAGATGCCATCTACAAAGGCCCATTGAAGAGGCACCGAGCCAGTCTGAAGAAATTGATGATTGACAGTGGAGAAAAGGGACCCGATGGACACACAACCACGAGCTCAAGATGGAGGCGATGGATGCTGAATCGGGAAATCCTGACTTTCATAACCAGTGGCCGCATGAACAGCCTGCGAGAACTCGCCGTGTCCATCGACTACAAAGATTGGGTATGTTGCGTTCCATCTCGTCTTGAGGGCACCCAACTGACAAAAAGCAGCACCATTTCCTCCAGCGTCTTCCGTACATCCCCCACATCCGCTCCCTGTACATCCCCTTCATTGCCGACCATGCCCACGGCAGCAACATCGATCCGCGTGAGCTCGCCTACCAGATTCTCGACATTGTGCACTTGCGGCCGGAAATCGAGCTCTGCTACATGGGCCTGTCCAACAAGTGCTTCGAGATTCTGGAGAACCGACCATCAAACTATGACCTGCGTCATGACGGTATGCATGCTGATGGCAGTGGCTCTGCATACGCCACGCATGATCCCATGCTGTCGGACGATGAGAGCGAAGCCACCGAGGACGACGATGAAGACAGCATGGACGAAGGCGCAGCACCAAACGGAAGTGACGACACGGAAAGCGATGTCAGCGACGAGGCAGACGCCGAAAGCGACGACGAATCATTCATCCAAGATTCACAGAAAGGGCCGAAGCTGAGGGTCAGAGAAATCCTCTTTTATGAGGAACGAGTAGAGGCATTCAGAAGGCGGCATGGCGTGCTCAGGCCATGATGAGGGTGAGACGAACGATATGGGTATTGACTATTGCAGCAAGCATTTAATGGACATTGTAATCATGATGGGCATGGTGTCGGATGGCGTATACGGTAGATATCCTTGACTGGTTTGTATGATAGGCAGTCTCGTATCCTGGAATCTGGAATGGGGGCGTGCTATGGCGGGGTGCCTTTTCACGTTTATGTAGTAACGTATGTGGCAAGCGAGCGCCGCAGGCAAGCGAGCGCCGCACCCCACCAAACCTGCGCACCTCTATAAGCCTGTAGTTCCACCACAATATAGTTGTTTTACTACATATTAACATAATAGATTAAGCAGTACCTAGAGTATCTTTCTTGCACGTACGCGAGTTATGGCCAGTCTCTCTGCACCTACTACAGCGCGCCAAAGCCTGGCGGCTAACACCTGATCGCTCTCCTCTCTGACGCTCTTCATGAGCAATCTGCTGATCAGCCTCGCGCTGAGCGAGTAGATCCTCTCCAGCTCCCTTTGTAAGTACTCCTCGCTTCTGTATCCGCTTTTTCTTACGCTACCTACGCTTTGTTGCTGCCTCATTAGCCCTCTTAAGGCTGGCGAGCCGATCGCGCATTAGCTCAGCCGAGAGCATCATTATCTCTGCCCCCTTCTTAAGCTGGCCAATTGCCGCAATAATTGACGCTGGTGATGAACTCTTATGCCGCTGAACCCGGTCACGTATTAGCGTTGATTGGGCTTCAAGCTCGCGTACGTTGCTTGGGGTACGAGCCTGCCAGACAGCCTCTGCGACAGCAGCTGGAGGAGTAGGCGTACGCAGCTT